CTACACATAACAGAAAACTTAGCAAAGAACCAATTTTAAATTGTATTATTAGGCACTCGGTTACTTGCAGCCTGTAACAAAGACAGAATTTGTTCCCCTTTCTTTAGTCAAATATGACACTATAGAAAGATTACACTTTTGACAGGCATCCATCTATCCATCCATCTTTTTCCGCCTTATCTGGGGCCGGGTCGCGGGGGCAGCAGCTTAAGCAGAGAAGCCCAGACCTTCCTCTCCTCAGCCACCTCCTATGGCTTATCCGGGGGAACACCAAGGCGTTCCCAGGCCAGCCGAGAGATATAATCTCTCCAGCGTGTCCTGGGTCTGCCCCGGTGCCTCCTCCCGGTGGGACATGCCTGGAACACCTCACCCAGGGGGCATCCTTGTCAGATGCCTGAACCATCTCAGCTGGCTCCTTTTGATGTGGAGGAGCAGCGGCTCTACTCTGAGTCCCTCCCGGATGGCTGAACTTCTCACCCTATCTCTAAGGGAGAGGCCAGCCACCCTTCGGAGGAAGCTCATTTCTGCCGCTTGTATCCGCGATCTCGTTCTTTCGGTCACTACCCACAGCTCGTGGCCATAGGTGAGGGTAGGGACGTAGATCTACCGGTAAATTGAGATCCTCGTTTTTACACCCAGCTCCCTCTTCACCACGACGGACCGGTGCAGCTGCGGCCGCAGCGCCAATCCGTCTGTCGATCTCCGGCTCCCTTCTCCCATCACTTGCGAACAAGACCCCGAGATACTTGAACTCCTCCACTTGGGGCAGGAACTCATCCCGACCCAAAGTGGGCACTCCACCCTTTGCCATTTGACAGGCATGAAATCATATTTTTGCAACAACAAGATGATTCCCAAAGCACTCTTATGCGATGTGACAGAAAACCTGGTGTATCACATCATGAGGTGCAGTGCGTTCTCAAAAAATTTGAGGAGCCTGAATAGGACAATAAAGAAGTGGCAGACCTATAAAACTCTTCTTCAGATGGAAAGTTTTTCCATTTTTCAGCATGATAATGCAGCAGTCACCAAATACACGGGTACATGGGTTATGGTAATTACCTACTTGACCAACTCACACATTAGCTGTATTAAGAATCACTAATTTAACTGAAAAAAGGAGTCCCATAAAACTATGATGGAGTTAGGTCAGGAGTGAGCTGTCCGTGGTACTGTTTAGAGGCTACAAAATCCAAAAGCAATAATGCACCAAATACACTCAGTAGACCTGGCAGCATGGACAGAAATAAGACTATGCTTAAATGTTCACAGGCAAAAACAAAACAAAAACACAACAAAATAACTAAATTCATTGCAAATGTTTAGCCTTGTGATATCCCTCCCAGGGTTTACCCTGCCTTTTGCCCTATGACTATGGATGAACGGACAATTGGACGTTTTATTTTTCCATTTATACTGAAACAGCTGAATGTCTCCTTGGCACAGGATGGTAAATGCCAAAAATTTATTTCTATACATTTTTCTGATCCCAGAAATACACTCATTTAACCTTTTGATCACTGTGCTTTTCCCTGAAATGAGAACATAAAGGATCGGACTGTTTTTTTTCCCACTTTCAAAACAGACTGATAGGCATAACTTCTTAATTAATCCCGTTCTTTCATTCATTCACTTTTAGTACCACACATATAGAATATTTAATAAAGCTCCCTTCTGAATTTTGTTATGAACAATAAGAAGGAGTTGATAGCTAACATTTCTGAACACAAGAATTACATCAGAAAAAATGATGAGAGGTCCCCTACAGCCAGACATTTTCAGTTAGCTGGAGGGTCAGTGGTTACGGGGAATGGTGGTTGGGCTGTTGAAAAGAGTTGTTGACAGGGAAGGGAAATCATCAAAGGGAAGCCCATTGGATATATAACAGTGTATCCTGGAGGATTAAATGAGGAATTGTTGTTGTCCTGTTTTTTACGATTATTATATGTAGTGGATGGGTTCCAAGGACCTCTAGTAAACTGACGTATATTGTTCCATATAATGTTTTTTTAAGGTATTCATGGACTACTAGATGTATATTTGATCTTTCTATTGAATCCGACAGACTGTATCATCTAAGATATTTTGTTCCTGTTATGGGAAAGGTGTTTTTAAATTCATTTCTTCTTTTGTGAGGTTTGGCTTTATATCCAGCTATATATGTGATGTTATGTACGAATAAAAATACGTATACAAATAAATATAAATCCACTACTGAGCAGGTTCCTGTGTGTCCCAGTGCTTTATTGCTGGTGATGTCCACATATGCAGAGGAAAGCCATTGACAGAAGCGCGTCCATTTTTTCTTATTGCCATTTTATACTAAGTAGTTTAACAGCATATAAAATAGTATTATATATGCAATTGTGAGTGCTTAAGTTCTATTAACAGTATGGCAGTTTAATGATTTGGAGGTGAGCACGTTTGTTTTTCTTTGTTTTCTGTTTGTCTCATATCCTTTAAATCTCTCCGAGTTGAGCTCCGTTTCTCCGAGACACTTAAAACATCCCTCGTAGTCTTCCATAAAATACAAGTTGTGTATTTTGACGAATAACATCGGGGCTTCAAAGGAAATATATAGAATGATGGAGTGTGGGCGTCGACTTCTTAAGTCCCTTTACAGGAGAAACCCTACACCGGCCTCTCTGTGGACTCCCCCACTCCAAGTCAATGTTTATCGATTTCATTAGGCTGAAATAAAGACTTGCCAATGTGCCCGCTGAACTGGTGATACAGACGATGAAGCAACTTGGTTAAATGACCGAGACACAGCGCCACCTGGTGGTTCTACGTCAGACTAACATCGCAGCAAATATTCTCTGACTGTATTTACCGTTTTAAATGTGTCAGGCTTCATGACTCTTTGTGCCGATATTTGGGGAACATCTGCATTGCAAAGCAGCTGCAGTATGAATTGATGCCAGTGAGACATTTGCGTGCGATCGTTAAAACTGGACAGGAAGAATATATTACCGACATCGGAAGAATGAATGAGGCTCTGCAGGAAGCAGGCTGTGCCTTCATAACGCTAATACAAAAGCCTACCTTTTGCAGGCTTGCTGTTTGGTTTCCGCTGGTAGATCGGTTTGTAAAGCAGGAAAGTGCAGCTGTTTTTCACACGGGAAAGCCCTGAAACCGTGCTACCTCCGTTCAGCCCTGCTGCTACTACTGGGGTCCCATCTGGCTAATTACCTTGTCAATAAACCTTGAAGGTAATACCGCGAGAACGAGAGTTGGGGGTGAGCGCTGATCCTGACCCTCACTAATTATCCCATCCCAATTCCAGCACGGCAGGAAAAACAGTCCAAGGCAATAACTCAAGGTTTCAATATTATTCATGCACGTGTCCATTCATATTAAAAACCTGTCACTGTATTGCAGATTTCATTTAAAAAGGAACAACATTACAGTTTTTGCCCATCAAGGTGTAAAAAACAGTGTAGAACAAAGCTGACCAGGAAAATGTTTATTTGCATTCATATTTATATGTCTTATGCACATTTCTAATGCACTAACTTTTTTACTGTGCTGAGACTCTTTTGTTGTCACGTGCATCTTTTTTGTTGACATTATCCTTGAGATGGAAAGTTGACAGTGATTGGATGTAATATAGAAAGACACACACCCATGAGCTTTCACACTGCCTGTCAGGACAAACACTAAGCCATCAATCTCCAAAGATGACTTTATCTAACTCTAAACCTTTTCTTGTGTCATCCCAGCAGGAACAGTGGCCTAAATAAGTGTAAAAGGGAAAAACCCCCAAAAAGGTTTGTAACCACCAAGACCTCAGGTTGCACTAAAAATGCACAAAGCTGTGAATAGGTGAAAATAAGACAAAACGGACTTTCACCTCATCCAAGAGGTGTTTTTTTTTAGTTTAAAAATAACTGATGGAGAGTCCCAAGTATTTAATACGTAGTGGATGCGTCAACCTGGAGGAGATCCTAAGGGATAACCCAGCTAGGTGTTAAATACCTGGAGTCTCCATCAGTTGTAGAACTGAAGATTCCTCTTGAATGAGAGATACAACGTCTTCACAGACAAAAAGTGCACAGCCTGTCGCAGTGTCTGTGTTGCTTTTTATTTAATCTTCTTGTTCTATTGGTTCTTCAACCTGTTTTCCTCCTGCCTACATCTCCATCTTCAGGATCCACTGAACAGTGTACACTATCCCTCTTCTGTACATGTCCAAACAGTCTCAGCCTTGCCTCTGTAACTTTGTGTCCAAGCTGCTCAACCGGAGCCCCATCACATTTCTGTAGTTTACCTTCCTGCTTCTGTTTCTTAGATTTAAAGTGTGCACGTTATTATCTTCTAATGCCATTTCTATACTCTTTTGCACAATCTCTGTCTCATTTCTTTTACATTTTTTTAAAACTCCATTTACTTATTTAAATTTTCATCACTGCTGTAAATATCAAATAGTGCTAAACATAAAAAATAGATATGAGACGATTTTTATTTATTTATTGCACTACCTCACACTATAGGCCTGAAAGTCTTAATCTCTGCCTCCTGTCATTTTATCACTGCCACCTTCTCCAGCACGTCTCATTACAATCTTGTAAACATTTCCTTTGAATCTTGCTACCATCCTTCTCTCACAAATCACCTACACCCTCTCCACCCTGCCTGCACTCTCTGCTTCACCTCTCTTGTGCACTGTCCCCTGCTTTTGATAGTTGACCCCAGACATTTAAACTATTCCACCTTCACTTCACCTCCTTGTATCTTTTCTTTCCTCTCTCATTGACAAATATCTATTTTGTATGAGAATACGAAACCGCGAATCCTTATAAATTTAACATAATATTTTTATTATTATGTAATTGTAGAATATACTTTTTTAAATAAAATAAATCATGTACAGTAGTACATAATTAACTATTTGTGCACTATACAGTGTCCAAGTCCTGCTTTTTTTTAACTCTGCAGCGTCCTCTGCTGTACACAAGTTGAGCTAGCATAAAATCATTCTCCTGCAAACGAGCTTCTGAGATAATGTAATCGCTTTAATTACCTGTGTTGTTGTCACCAGTGTTGTTTATCACTGTCTGCGTGAGTTATTTAAGCCCATAAAGGCAAACAACACAACGATAACAATGGTGACAACAACAAAAATGCTCCCGGCATTTTTAGTTCTCTAAACAGGAGCAGCACATCCGGTCCGGCTGTCAAACCTGTCCGCCATTGGCGCGTCTCGTGGATTACTCTCTGGATGTGGGTCGTGCGTGTTTTTTCTTTGGCGCTTAAATTAACAAAAAACAGATATTTTCTGGTAACCAGTGAAACAGCAGGTGTGTCACGAAGGGTATTTTCGCGGGTTAGCTGCTTTAGTTCGCCCGTGCACTTTGCTAACGGAGAAACGCGCTACATGTCAAGTGAGCCGAAGAGACTCTGCACCGAAAACATGACCGTTACAAAGATCGGAACCCACAACGGGACCTTCCACTGCGACGAGGTTCTGGCTTGTTTCTTCCTCCGGCAGTTACCCGAGTACTCGGTGGGTGCAGCACGCTGCCGATTGATAGAAACATGTTTGGGGTTATTGCTAACTCCACGCTGTGCTTTGAATTTTTTTTTAATGTAATCACTGTGCTCATCGTTACTGGCTAGGTAGAATTTAAATCCTCCCAGGAAGTCCTCACAGTAAGGATAAAGCCACATCTGCATTTTTGGAAACAACACTTAATCTTGTCTTCTGTTGATGGATCCAGTGTAATGCCAAAAAAAAAACCCACCAAAAGGGGGCGCTGTGTGTAAACGGATTGCAAAAACGATTACAGCATAAGACGTAATACGGTGAATATGTCACACATTTCAGTGTTATGGTCTGAATAAACTAAAAATACATTTTTTGTGTGTGTAGCCAGGTTTGCAGAACATTTGAGGGAGTTTTAAATTAAGTTAATCTCAACCTAATAGCACATTTTGTCTCTAAATACTTAATATGGGTGATAAAATAATATTGATCAGAGGTTTGCTGCACTGCCCTAATAAAACCTGTGATCAAACCCAGGTTATAGCCTGTCGTAGCTGTACCGTTGTTTTGTGGCACTCTGTTGTTTATATTTGTAATTTTTATAATTTATATTAGTAACAAAAATACCATATTTGATTACCTCTACATGTCTGTGATTTATGCGCAGTTTAACAGAAACATTTTGATTACATATTTGAATTGACGTATACTTTATACAGTCAAAGCTTAAAGGTTGGACCTCCAAACACAGGGCTGGGCTTCTATGGTCTAATTTTTCACGTGTTTTTTTTTTTCTTTTCCCTCCGGTGAGATTGTTGTAATGGTCTTTTAACAGGTATCAATCAGAAAGCATTAAATCGACTTCAGATGGTGAAAAATTCAGCAGCCAGACTTCTTAGAAGAACCAAGAACACTGAACATATTACGCCAGTCTTAATGACTCTACATTAGCGGGCCATTACTTCTAGAACTGATTTTCAGATTATAGTCATTACTTTAAAAGCCCTTCATGATCTGGGCCCAGAATATATACTAAAACTGCTGTTCCCGTACCAAACACCAAGCAGCCTCAGATGCTCAGGCAGAAACATGTTAACTTTTCCCACATCGCATTTAAAGACTAATCGTTTTAATTTCATGCTAGTTTGTTCTTTTTTCCTGTGTTTCTGGAAAGCACTTTGAATGTTGGTGTTGATAAGTGTTATACAAGTAAACAAATAATAAAATAATAATTATTATTAATTTAGTTTGACATATATTTCTTTTTGTTTGCTGCACAGGATGGAGAAATCATTCGCACCAGGGACCCTGCACAGCTGGCGGAGTGCGACATTGTTGTGGACGTTGGAGGAGAGTTTGACCCAAAGAGGCACCGCTATGACCACCATCAGAGGTGCAGTTCTGGCAGTAAGCTGCTGAAAAGAGAGAAATTTATAGCTGTAGATTTCTAAAATATTATGTACTCTGAACTAAGACTGGGGGAGAGATTAATCTTCACTGTTCATCAACAGTAAGGGTCAGGATCATATCACAGATTAATTTTATGCCAGCTGAAAAATTTGACTTCAAGTTTAAGATTAAAATCTTGCTTTGTTCCAAGTGCTGTAAAAAACATGGTGTTGCATTTTGAGCTGTTCGTGTTTTCTGTCTGTATTGGTAGTTTTAAGGATCAACAAAAGAATGTTTTAAAAGATAAAGAAGCTTCAGGAGAAACACCACTCAGCCATGTTATGAGTGTTGATGTTACATAGTTTGTCCAACAGAGGGAACTCTCTATTTCCCTGTCAGCCACTCTGTTTAGATTTTATTTTTCTAAAAGTAGAAACAGCTGACATATCAGATTATTGGATTTTGAAATTACCAAATATTGGTATCAGACTTAACAATCCTATATCGGTCAGACTCTAATATACGCATGTACCAATGGAAGGAAGCGTAATCTTTAAAGTAGCTCACGCACCAATCTCCAGTCACTTCCAAGCGCTGAGGCGCACCGTCTCCAGCAAGCCAAAATAATTTATCGGAATTATTACGCCTGGATTTTTCCCACTTTAACATCGTCATCGTACAGCCTTTGGGATTTCTTTTCATTATCTGAGTTCTAATGATGAGAAACTACATTTCGGGGTGGCTTCTGCTCTGACATCTTTGAAGCACCCTGATTGCATGAATCATAAGGTAACAGGCTCTGTGTTTTGTGTAGAATTTCTTCCTGATGATTGCATTCAGTCGACGTCTCATCACGTTGAGTAATCAGCCTATTCCAGGTGTCTTGTCAGCTTAATGTCCTGATGATAATCAGCCATAGCTTTTATGACCACGGCGATAAAGATATGCCAGGGCTCTCTTCCTCGCAGGCGGTTAGTGATAATTAGCGCTCCTTGAATTGAACGCCCCCCTGCTGTCGGTTCACGAGGCACAGAGGCTGCAGCAGTGCTGTCGGGGCCACAGGAGGCTGTGGCTGTCACTCACATGCCCGGATGGGGGGCAAGATGGTTGTGATGGCACAGATGAATGTAAGTGGGATTGGTGCGACAGGAAGTTAGAGAAGGAGCTGGCGAGAACAACTGTAGTCCTCATTTCAATTTCACTTGTGACAGCATACAGATTGAGCTGACAGCAGTACCAATGAATCGCAGACACATTCTGTCAAATAAAATAGCATGCAATTACAAGAGTGCAAGTCATTAAAGGACCTGTGGTTATTATATATAAATATATTTACAAATATCAAATGACTACTAATTAGAAAATGTTTAAAAATACATTTTATAAATTTGAAGGCTAAGAAATATATACCCAGTTAAATTATTAAGATTGGTTGCTTATGCTCGGCTCACTCACTGCTTTGACTTAACAAAGAATTATAGGTGAGTAAACATATTTTTCAGCGGTGACAAACATGCTCTACATTTTGCAGCTTGTCATAATCAGCAAAAGGAAAACCTTTTTTGCTGATTTGACTGCTACTCTCACTGAATTTGGACCTTTAACAATGTAGGAAAAATGATTTTTGGATACTGCAGCTTTCCTTCTCCCATGTATTTATTGCATATCTTCAGTGCATTATAACAGCGGTCCCCAGCCTTTTTTGCGCCACGGACCGATTTAATGTCAGACAATATTTTCACGGACCGGACTTTAATGTGTCGCGGATAAATGCAACAAAATAAAACGATACGACCGAGACAAAAACTGGTATTTGGTAGTTTGTAAATATAGTGATAAACGCAAATTCACAATGTAATTGTATAACTTTATTAGCAGCATCCTCCTGAAATGCACCAACAATATTGAAAGTAACATCCTCCTCTCTGCCCTTTAACGCTCTCTGGTTGCTGTGGTAACGCAGAAATATTTCTTTCAATTACAACACGGGAAAAGACCCAGGGAAACCCTGAAAACCCCAGGGGGTTGGGGACCACTGCATTATAATGTGACCAAATGTTGATCAGTTATTTAATATTTGGGATTGATCTACTGTAATAATGTCTGCATTTGGGGTCTAAATATGAATATCAGTAATGGTGGTGGCATGGTGGTTAGCACTGTCACCTCACAGCAAGAAGGTCTTAGTTTCAAATCCACCAGCAAGATGAGCCTTTCTAGAATAGAATAGAAAAGCCCTTTATTGTAATTCTACAATAGATTGGCAGCCTGTTCAGGCTGTACTCTGTACATACTAATGTATAAAAACATTGCCGTTGCTCTATGTGAGTTGGAATAAGCTGCAGTCCAACAGTGACCCTGAATTCAATAAATGGAAGAAAATGAATGAATTTATGGACAGTAATGGTGCAAAAAATGTATGGAGTCATTGGTGCTTGCCTCTCAAAAGTACAACAATTTTTAAATTAAATCACCGTTACTGCAATGCACTGAGTTGACTTAACAACTCTTGCTGAACTCATTCGATGGGAAAAGTGTAATCAGCAATGCCCCATAGATCATTTACTATCTGAAGCTCTCTGAGACTTAAACTATTGAGTCTGTTCTATTATTTGTTTACAGTTGGCTATAAATGAAAATGCATTTCCTTGTTTACTATCTGCCTTTCAAAAAACCCCACAAACGGGCAAAATTTGCTCTTAGACATTATCTCTCTTCCCAGCCCTCATTTTCCATCAGGTATTATACCGCACAGGAAACTGGGAAATTTCCAAGTAATAGTATTCTTTTTAAACAGTGTTTGAGCCGAGTCACTACATTTCTTGCTGTATTTTCATGTGTTGTGAATTATAGTTATGCACAGAAACAATCCGAAAAATAAGTACATCTTGGTGTTCAATGACATGGATAACTTAAAAAAAGGAGCATCCAGCAGATTTGAAAAGAAGTGGACAAATCAAACCACACCAACACCAAACAGCTCTGTAAGTCTTTCTGTCATCTGTATTTCCACAATTCAAGAGCGTCACTCCTCCTGCTGTAGCATTGGTCAGAATTCATCCTCGTACAAGCTGTAAAGTCGAGGTAATATCCAGCATTTTATGGACATTTTTCCATGTTCACAAGAATTGCTGCTCCTAGAGTAATGGCATTAATTCTCATTATTTTGTACAATACAGCCAACCAGTGACAAGAAAACTCCACTTTCCTTGTGTACTTCACACATTACAGTAACCTGTGAATTTAGATGGAGGATAAGCTGGATGAGCCGCTACGACACTGACGTTCTGGTTCTGTTATTATTATCAGGAATATATGGAAAATAATCGCATCAGAGTAAAATGAAAACAAATCTCTTTAATGTGTTTTCTTCCCGGAGAGGCTGGTTTAAAAAAGCAGGGTGAGGTGCTGCTCTCTCCAGCGTGTTGCACAGATATGGTGTGTGTCACAAAAATGAGCTGAGCAGTTAGTAAAAAAGACAACTCTAACATGAAGAATAAATCAAAGTACTTAGATAACAATTGTCTGATTACATATTCAACATATTACATATCTGAATATGAAAGATATTTCTGTTTCTTTCGGGTTAGTGGGAGAAAATATAATGAGGCACTTTTAATCCAAGTCTCCATATATCCTGTTTGTCTGAGGAAATTTTTAATCTCCTTAGGTTGTGTGTATTAAGTCCTGATTAAGCAATTTTGTTGGAAGCGACAGAATTAGATGCATTAGATGACATTGTGAACTGCAAGTCTTTGTCTTTCGAGTCTGCATCAGAGTTTCTGACACTGACCAAATACAAAAACACATAATTTAGGTGCCCCTTCCACTTTGAGATGATCTGAACGACCGTTTTTGTTCAAAATGTCCACCACGGGAGGCAAAACCTGGAGACAGTTTGAATCTTTATCAAAACATCTCCAAGTTTCTACAGTAATTTAAGTCACTAAAGAAAAAGAGAAATTCACTAATAAGGTCTGAGTTAAGTTAATCTAAAAGTATTTTGAGTTAATGTGCTGTAATCAGTGTTTTGTAGGCAACATTTACATTTGGGGTTAAACACGGTTGTAATGAGGCATTGAGGCTACTTTGGAGTCGGTTTGTAGTCCAGCTCCTGGAGGTATCAGTGACAAATTCATCTGCATAATTCTGAATAAGTGAATTTCCTCTAATGACACAGAGAGACATCAGCAACATTAAGTGGTGCAGCTGGTGCAGTATGTGAAGCACACTATATGTTAATTATGTTTAAATAAAACTTAATTTATGCCTAAATATCACCAGCGCTCAGCTGAACTGTCCCATTTTAATGCAGCGAGATGTTGCTTGATCTTGACTTCACACAAACAGCTTGATGACTTTTTCTTCGTAAGTGTTTTTTCTTTTAGCCGTTCTTTGTTTCAGATTGTCATTTTCCTCTCTCTCATTCACTTCCATTTTATGATCGTCAGCATAGAAATGCCTCTGCACGGCCAATTAGCCCTTTAATGGCTGTGATTACCCCCTACTTCCCTAGTATGTCACTCATTCATTTGATGGTCGGTTTTCCGCTGTGCTGCTGCCCGAGCATCCTAATTAAGCCTGAATTAAATGACCAGCAGTGACTCTGTGCTGGAGCCCACCCATCTCAGCACGTGTCTGAGAGGCCTCCAGTGGTTATGTGAGCTCACACTTACAAACCAGTGCGTCATTATTGATAATTTCAAGCACATGGCTAGATGCAGTATTTTGCTGAAGAGGAGAAAAAAATATGAATTATTTGTTATGAGCAGAAAAAAAGTCTAGTGATTGGCCTTTAGAACAAAATATGAATATCACAAGTTTTGGTTTTTAAATAAATAATCCGTTCTTCTCTCGCTACACAGTATATATGGTAAAGTTTTCAAAGGCAAAGACTAATAAACACATTTTCTTCCTGTTTTTCAGGACCTTTTCAGACACCTTCAACAGCCTCTGTCCAGAGAAGCCATGGCTGACCAAGCTCAGCTCTGCCGGCCTGGTCTACCTGCACTTTGGCCATCGAGTGCTGTCGCAGCTCACGCAGCTGAAGGAGGACGACAGGCAGCTGGAAGTGCTCTATGACAAGGTGAGAGGAAAAGGATGACAGATTTATAGCAGGCAGTGGATTTCTACTGATTGTATGTTTATTCACAAAATAAACACGCCATTGAAAATGTGTTTTCCACTGGTCCACTTGTGCCAAAAAAAACATTTTCTCAGCTGGTGAGTGGAACCTGAACATTGTTAATTTCACGATAAAGCTGGAAGAGGGAGATTACAAAAATCTATTAAGTGGGCAAGCTTGTCAATTACAAAATTATAATAGAAAATAAGGGACACAGCATCCTAATTTGGCGTGTATTTTGCTTTTCAGAAGAATTGTGCAGATTGCATCCTGAAATCCTTCCAAACTGTCCTATTATACATAAACAATAGGGTTGGATGCGTTCTTCATCTTCTGTCGGTTATTTTGAAAACTAAAGACAGAATCGTGTGAAACGATCTGTAGTGTTGGGACACTGAGACACAATTCACCATTTATGATAATATCTTTAGCAGTAAGGTCAGAGGGGAAACAGGATGGATATGCTTGTGAATGAACCCTTTAGCCTCGAATCAAAGAGATCATCTGCTCTAAGCTAAATCTTAAGAGAGTTGTGATTTAGAAAATGTTATCAAAATGTTATCATTTGACTATTTGGCCAGATCATCCATTTCTACGCTTACATATGCCAGTGTTTTGAGTTTATTTTTGGATTTTCTGCAATCCACACAAGCTCAGATATATCCATAAACTGACTTAAATATTTTAATAGGGGGGTGCTGATGGTTCCACAGTGTCAAGTTAAAAGACAGTGCCAAAGGCTTTTAAATGAGCGATTGGCTACAACTGGTAGTTTCTCTATGTCAGCATAAAAATGATTTGTTTGACAGCACTCGTTGGTCAGACAAGACAAAGATTGAGCTATCAGGCAACAATGACAAAAGGAATACATGGAGGTGTAAAGGTTAGGCTTGAGAAACCTGAGAACACTGAGCCATCTGTCAAGCATGGTGGTGGTAGCATCATGCTCTGGGTTGTTTGTTGCCAGAGGTTTTGGTACATTACACAACGTGGATAGAAACATCAATAAGGAATAACTTGAAATTCTTCAGCATCACCTCAACTCAACAGCCAAAAAGTTAAAACTTGGATACAGTTGAGTACTGTGGTTTTGGAAAGGCTAAAGCAGGCTAACCTGAACTCGAGCCTCTTGAAAGTTGGCAGACTACGCTGGGTTCGTGCCAGGAAACCAGACAGTTTATATGAAATCTACTGATTCTGCCACGACGCGTGGTCAAATATCCAGCCAGAAATATACCAGAAGCTTGTTCATGGCTGCCAAAAGTGCAAAAAAGTGCAACTTGTTAAGGGACATTTAACCAGATATTAGTGGAAGTGTATTTATATATTTGACCCTGTGTGCATTTGTAGTACAATCATTCCACAGTGGAAAAAGAACAGTTCACAGAAATGATCAAATTCTCCAAATTACCGTCACATTTATACCCATGAAACCTCTGACCACAACTGTAGATTTAAAAGCACAAACTAGGACACTTTTTGGGATTTGCCTTCATCCCACAGTTGGCAGTAGAGTGTGAACAGATATAAAAGGACACGACAAAGTCTTTTAGCCAGATTTAAACAGAGTTCAGTTTCTTGCATTTTAGACAGCTTGGCCAGCAGGAGGCCTTGGCATCCATTGTGTTTTAATGGTCGGGCACATTAAGCCAGCCAAATCTTGGGTCACTATAAATATTAGCACTATTAACTCATGATATCATTTTTCTTTTGATGTGTCAGTTTGTTTAAAGCCCCGAGTAATCCTTTTACTCATGGCTCGGGCTCTACGTATTTTAGGATGCTGCATGTCATGTCCTTAGCCAGTTCCGACAAACTAAACATCGAGTTTTGCCTCAGAGCTTAGCTCCACTGATAAGTCACTTGTAAAATGTCAGCTCTTGCATGAATGACCTTCCAGTGAAGTTGAATTTTTATCATTTAATATGGCTGTTCCAGTTCATCTGCTCGTACAGTATTTTCGGGGATTTGTGAAGTAACAGCTTTTTTCCTATTTCATTTAGGTTTAATATTTTCTGTAACTACACATATCCTGTGGGTTTAATTCCTTTCCATGCATTCTTCTTGAAAAAGCTTTGTCTTTTTTTACTACTCTGATTTTATGCTTGGAATAAGTGTAAACACGAAACAGCTGATTCTGATGCCATAACAGATTGACAACCTCTGCCGCCACGTGCCTCTATCATGTGCTTACAGCTGTATGAGAACTTTGTGGAGGAGGTGGATGCTGTTGACAACGGCATCTCACAGTATGATGGGGAGGCCCGGTACAGCATCTCCACCACGCTGAGCGCACGTGTCTCACACCTGAATCCACGCTGGAACAGCACAGATCAGGATACTGAGGTGAGTACATGTGAGTGCAGCTGTACTCTATACCAGGACAGAAGGTGGCTTTTGACATGTGTGTGACTTCGCATCTCTTATATGGGATTAATTATAGTTATTATTTGTTTATCATTGCCTGGATTTCCACAGCAAAGCTCACCGTTTCTCAGCCTAATGCAGTAAAATGAGCTAATATAAGACTGTATAACTGTGGCATGCAGACAAGTCAGCATCTTTCTCTTCACTTTAATGTCCTCAGAACAGTTCTCTTTTATAATACACAAAATATCTCTCTGTCTGTGTCTTTGTCCCTGATCTCCTCTCAGACCATCAGGAGATGAGCGACCAAAATTGGCACACAGGTACATCTCAGGTCCCTGAAGGTTCTTAGCTACATCAGGCATTACGATGTTGCCTAGCAGCTACCTAGCATTTTTTTTAAATTCAAATAATTATTAAATTTTGCATTTTCTAACAAACACAAAAATACAACAAAAAATAACAAAAACAAAAAAACGAAGAGGTTTTAACATCTGTTGCATTAATCTGGAATTTCCAAGTCAGGCAGACATGTGGGTGGAAAAATTGTCCCATTGTTCCACCAAAGCTTCAGTCGCGTAATGTAACCTTCCCAACATCTTTTCTCCAGCAACATTCCCAATCATTTTTTCTTTCCACATTTTAAGCGTTGGAGTATGGGAGTCCTTCAAATATTCCAAAATGACACGGGCACATGTTACCAATGCAGCGCTTAACACTCTAAACTGATGTTTAACTGTGGCACCTCTCCTTTGTCTCCTAGTAGACATAATTTAGGTGATCTGGGCAAGTTACAAGGTATCCATGCCTGCATATAATTCAATACACTGTTCCAAACTGGAAAAACCAGCTGGCATTCCCAGAGGGCATGTATCAAAGTATCTTTAGCTTGTTGGAATTTCCAACATGGGTCATCTCTACCAGCACCTATTTTATAAGCCTTGAAGGAGTATAATAATATCTATTAAACATTTTGTATTCTGGCTTCCCTAATGTATAATCCATTATTCGACAGTATAGAATCCCACGTATCTTCATCCCCTGTAGACCCTAAATCCCTTTCCCATATTTTTTTCATAAAATGTACCAGTTTTAGCATTTATCCACCTATAAAGCATTATTGTGGGTCCATTGTGGTTTTACAGTTGTGCCTAATGTGAAAAAGATCACCGGTTCAATCACATTCACTTGTTCAAGTTGACGCAAATCCCTTAAACACTGCTTCAGGAAGGGATTCTGGTTAAAAGAAGTTATAAAAAATACAAATCAAAACTCGCTGCCCACTGTGCTGAACCCTTGTGAATAAAGAAGCAACAGAAAGTAGCTTTTATGCACCTAAAACACCTTATAATGCCTGCCTATCATTTTAATTTCAGTCTCATTTATATCCCCAATAGCTGAATTATGCATGATGCTTTATAATGCCATCACAGTGCCCATCAGCTACCGAGAAGTTTGCTAAAATGACCTGTTTTTAACCTCTGTGCACTTAGAACACCCTACAATAACATCTAATTTATATCCACAAAACTTCAGTTATACATCATATATTATGATGGCATCAGGTTGCCTAGCAATCACCTAGCAACGTGCTGAAATGACCTGTTTTTTTTTGCCTTTTTACACCGACAAGACCCTATGAAAGCATCCTATCATTTATTGACACAAAAGCTTAATTATATGTGATATATTATAATGTCATCATGTCGCCTAGCAACCGCCTAGCAATGGGGGTAAAATGACCCTATTGCAAAAAGCATCACAGCCCACAATACGAATAGGCCAATGACGATGCTGCAGCGTTGGCATGTACTGGCGCACTTAATACACACCTGTTTATGACCTCAGTTGATCTGTAGAGTTTTAACCTTTTAATCAATAAAATGCAAGAAGTAAAAAAACCCCAAACAAAAACACTATACAGACGATTTTCATATTGGAGAAACCTGAGCATGGAGTATTGTTTTCCATGAAAAATTGCTAATGTTTTACTATTAATCAAAAAATGGTAGTTTATTTTATAATTGATGATTAGTTATCTCAGCCTACTGATTTGCAGCATCATCTCAGATACACAATATTGGAAAATTTAAGCAAAGATAATTAGTACAAACTAAAAAAAGAGAACTTAAAAAATCTAAATAATTATCCAAATGCAAACATACAACAATAAAATGCAACATGCATACTTTGCAACATGGATTAATTGCGATTTTAACAGACAGCTGTTCCACAGTAGTGCCCCAGTATAAAAAAAGGGATAAATTTAATTATCACACACAGTGAGCAACCTGTGATGAAGCAAAACTACAAAATAGTCTTAAGAGGGCAAACAGGTGCAGTGTGGTGCAATCAGTGCTCAGAGGTCATTGTGAGAGCTGTGCAGGACCAACAGAGTGTGAATTTTCTGTCTCTCATCAGTGTTTCCTGCACACTCACCCACAGCCTAGATATGCATATATGTCGACTATGCCAACATTTTTTTCCCCTTAAGTTACCTGCTTGTTTCTTGTTTCTTTTTTTTTCACGTTCCACTTCACATGATTATAATTCATGTCCTCCAAACACTGCAGGCGAAGCCATATCTGTGAAATGGGAAACTGAGAAAGATTTGAACTGGAAAATGTTTGGTAGACAACTTAATGGTAGAGTGACCTGTTGAACTCTCTGCACTGGCTGCTGCTGATAATTGAAAAACCTGATGGAGTTTCATCTCCTCCAGCCATGACTGTTAATACTCAGGTCCAATGCAGCCCCCTCAAACAGATGCATACAGATTGTGCATGACATACCGCGTGTGTGTGTGCATGAGTTTGTGTGTGAGATATCTGTGCCGTGCTTTCTTTCACATGCTCCTCTTGGGCTTCTGCTCGTGAAACTATGCGAGAGTGAAATCGGGCTGTGGTTTGGGCTGCAGGGATCAGCAGGGAGGTAGTAAGACAAGACTTAATCACGCCCGTTTTGTCTGGTACACGGTCTCACGTAAAGTAGCTGATGTCAAACTGATGCTGTAGTAGTGATGAAAGAAGCTAAATGATCAAAAGAATACTGCGTTCAGCTGAGTCTACAGAGTTCTTTCTCTGTTAAAGTGACATCAGTGTTTTAAGTCTAGCCAGCTGTCAAAAAATCCAACATGTCTTTATTCTCACATATTTTAATCTCTATTTTATCCTTAGGAGGGTTTCAAGAAGGCACTGAAGATGGTTGGGGAGGAGTTCCTGGACCGTCTGGATTTCTACAAGTCCTCCTGGCTGCCAGCTCGTGAGGTCGTGGAGGAAGCTGTTAAGAAGAGGCATCAGGTACGAAGCTGCCCATTCTGTTTCATTCTGTTTGTTTTCTTTATTTGTTTGCACCAGCAGCAGTGGGCCTCTTATTACTCTCATGGTTATCTGGTTCACGGAGGGAGTAGCCTTTGCAGAGATGCCCAGATGTCCCTCTCCCCTTCCACCTCCTCCTGCTCTTCCAGGGGGACACTGAGGTGTTAAAAAGCCATCCGAGAGATGTAATCTCTCCCTGGTCTGCCCTGGGGCCTCCTACGGACTTTCCTGGAACACCTCACCTGGGAGACATTCAGGAGGCATCCTTTAATGTGGAGTAGCAGCTCTACTTGCCACCCTAATGACCAAAATCACCCTGTCTCTAAGGCTGAGCCCACCACCATATGGAGAAAGCTCATTTCCACTGCTTATATTCACAATCTCATCTTTTTTCAGTCACCACCCAGAGCTCGTAACCATAGGCTAGGTGGTGTAGATGCTTCATTTGCTGACCACACCTCTTCATCTCTCTCTCATCATCTCCTCCAGCCCATCCTGCTAGGCCTGGTGAGAACCGTGGCCTCGAACTTTGAGGTTCTAATTTTTATCCCAGCCATTTCATACTTGGCTGAATTGGCTGTGAGTGATGATGTTTTTTGTTTTTGTTTAAGCCGCTGGCCGAACAGTCGGTGTTTTCCCTGAGACACCGACTGTGGTTTAAATAAACTAAATAAATATGACTTTGAGGTTGATATGGAAACAAATGAAGCTAAACAGCAAAAAATATCTAAACACAGACCAGACAAAAAAGAAAAAAGCAGATGTAGGACACCTGATCTGTTAGCCCATAATGAGAAACTCACTGCAGAATTTCATGTTTGAGTATTTTTAATAAAAATCTGTGAATAAAGTTTGTTTTGTGCTCCTTAGATCTAATTTAATTTCTTTAATTGCTTTTTATTAAATTCTGATTCTGAGCATTTTCTGTCTTGTTTTGAAAACTGTAAATATTATCAAAAATGATGAGAGTATCAGGACTGTTGTTGTTTAGTTGAAGGAGACATTTATCACTTATAAAAGAAGCACAAGTTACGGTGAAAATGAGTTTAAAATGCTGCTGCTTTTCTTATACAGTGAAGCTTTCCACAGACACAGGCTTTTGTGTCTGTCCTTGATTTTTGCACATTAGTCACATGTGTTACACCTGTTCTATTCTTGTTTCCAGATAGATCCCAGTGGAGAGGTACTCCTTTTTTCCCAGGGTGGATGTCCTTGGAAGGAGCATTTGTTTGCCTTAGAGAAGGAGCTCCACGTGGAGACGCCCATTAAGTTTGTCCTTTACCCAGACCAGAATGGACAGTGGAGGGTCCAGTGTGTCCCTGCTGGGCTCAACACTTTCCAGAACAGGTAAATTTTAAGGTTATCTTTTAGTAAAATGTTATTGAAAACCATTTGAGGACCTTTTTTTCAGCTTTAGCTGTAGCATTCAGTCGCATGCGTGGAGGAGACCTCTTGCATGAGTTCCTTCAGCAGAAGTCGAGCATGCATAACTCGCAGGGGTTTTGTGAAACTGAGTCACGCACAATAAATTTTTCCACACTGGATTTTTTTTTTAACACAATGACAGCTTCAGAGTTTTCAACGTGTTGCGTTGAGCTCCGGTGACAGAGACAAACAATGGTCTATGATTTAACTTTCATGCTTACTGGACCGTGTGACAGCCGCTCACGGAGGGTTGACGTGTTATCCGGTGAGAGACGGACTCCTACAAGGATAGAAATGGTTGTTTATAGAATGAGGAAGATACTTTATTTAAGCCGAAGATTTTGTTCCCAGGAACTTAAAAAAATATAAACACAACTCAGCACAGCCACCTGCACAGCCCTCCCACTCAGGTGCTTCTTGTGTGTTTTTCTGCTCTTAATTATACCCAGTGCTTCAATACAGCAGACTGAAAGATATAAAGCACATGCCAGTTTGACTGGTAGGAGAGATGCTTTGATTTCAAGATTTTTTTTGTGAGCATGAATCAAAGTGAGATGCTCTGTCGAGCAACAAAGCCCCTTTGATTTTCTGCTTCTATGCTTTTGTAATATGAATACCATTTAGGCCACTCAACAGTTTAGAGATGTGCTCAGTCACTGTCAGTTGTGCCTGACATACATGTACATGCCTTTCCTGTTTGTCCTTTTGCACCAGTTTAATTGGGTGGGTGAGCAACGTCAATGCCAAACTTTAAGAACACGATAAGTCGAGAACGAAGTGACGTGAGATTTTCAGGTTGATATCATAGGTGCTACGAGGCTGAGTGGTCGCACTGGCAGCTGGTGGTATTTTTGCTGTTGTGATAAGCAGCATTTCGACATACTTTAGCAATAAAGATGACCCGAATCCTCAAACCTAGCACTTAAATGAGAGTGCTAGGCTTATTAAACCATGTTAGAGTTCCTGTCAGGTCCCTCACTAATGACAGTGATGACAACACCACACCCCCTGTGTGAATTTTTAAAGATGATTAGCACCTATCGTCTGTGCTTCTTATCTCTGGAGGGGAAAGTGTTTACCCAAAGAGCTTCTCGCAGACCGACCTACAATGCTGTTCTAATAATGTCACTAGCGGGCCCACTGGAGTCCTGTAGTGGGTGTGTTGTGCCCTAAATCCCAGAATGTAGCACACATAATCACCAAAGTATGGCAAACACTAGGCTGATCCTGGACGTTATCCAGATATTCGTCTCTATAGCTGCTTGGTGCCGTACGGTTGCAGAGTCCATGTTTCCCAGAGTCGTGTTAAATGTGTTCATAATCACAAAAACCTGTTTCCAGGTACTAACAGAGACATTAGCGACAAAAAAATCTCCTGGTGCAGAAAATCTTTCCAGCATTGATGTTCCTTCCCTGTTTCGTTTACTTGACATGAGCTGCTGGATATTGATCTGCGCTTTTAAAGTGGTAGCCCTAAGTGGTCAGCATGTGCACTTAAGAAGCAGTGACTTAGGTGGAAGAGTATTGGAAGCGATTTGCGCTTTACAAAGCTGTGAAGATGAGCAGTTTTGCCTCGGGGATAGATTCTAGCATGTGGGTTTATCTTTGATCTTGTTTCCCAGTCTGTTTGTTAGACTCGCATCTTGTTACAGCTTGTATTTGTCTGGTGACAGAGCAATATGCAAACCGTGTTGTCAGAGTATTTTACAAGATTATATCAACTGTAGTTAATTAATTAGAAGTTTATTTATTCTTTGGTTGATGTGCTCTCTGCAGCAGGTTTGTGTATCTGTGCATGTGTGCGAGTGAAGAAGGGTCACCTGTAACACTGCTGTATTCAATTAAATTAAAATTAAATTTTACATTCAGTTTTATGAATATAAACCACAACAACAGTCACCTCAATGGGCTTTATGTTGTTAGGTACAATATTAGAGAGAAAGCAATAATATAACCCGTTATGAGCAGGTACTTGGTGACAGTAGGAAGAAAAAAAACACCCTTTTAACAGGAAGAACCCTTCAGCAGAAGCAGGTTCAGGGAGGGGCAGCCATCAGCCACGACTGGTTGGGGTTGAGGGGAGGAAGACGGGGCAAAAGACACACAGGACAAATTATATATACACATAACTCATCCCTGTTCATCTGGACGTAGCGTTTTCAGTGGGAGAAATGTTTCGTCACTCATCCAGGTGACTTCTTTGACCTCAGCTGAATTATTGTAATTGACTCTTAAACTTTTTTCAATGGAAGAACAAGTAAAAAGCCCTGTTTAAATGAAATAAAAAAGCTTTATAAACTTAACGCGAATAAAAGTAAATGCAAGGAAAAAATTCTGAATAAATAATAAACTACAAGTGTTTATGGCACAAGTGGATGAGTCGAGGGGAAAGGAAGGACAGGTGAGATTTCTGTTTACCTGTTATGAGAATTATTCATCTTAAGCTGCAAGAATCAGTCGCAGAGCAGAGCAGGCAGCTCGATTTGCACACTCTGTGTGAGGTGTGGGAGAACTTTGCCAGTTGGACGTATAGAAGTGTATCGGCTGATGTGAGTTGGCGTTGTGTTCAGCTGGTCCGCCAGTATTATAGCCGAGCTTGACTTCACCGTCTGTCTGAATTAGCGCCATGCTCAATATTTTTTTTCTTTTTTTCATTTAACGCGTCGGATGATTTGGGTGGCGGTTTCTTCTACGTCAGATACAATTTTATCCAGACAACAAACTCAGCAGGAAAGCTAGACCACTTCCATTACTGAAAGCATTTTGTGGTTACAGAAGTTTTACTAATCGAACACACCGTCTAATGAGTTAGGAAATTTGTGCAAAGTGAACACAATCTGTTTTTTAATCCTCTAAAATTGGTAAATCCTCTTAGACGTCAGATCGAGTTATATCTGCTACAAAATGTTTAAACTGTGTTATAAATTGAGCTCTGACCTTTGTGACAACGACTAAAAGCTATGTGTGAGTTTTGAGGGGATTGCTTGTGGAGAACTGAAGAAGAGTTGGGGATTGTTGTCTAGATTAAGACTCTTTCTTTCCTTCTAAGTGTGAGATGCTGATAGTTTTTGTCTGATTCCAGTTTTCTTTCTAAATACTTTAAGTGACAAACAAAAATTAACTTTTCTTCTATGCAGAATATTAATTTATTAATTAAAGAAGTTATTAACTGTAGTAAATTACAGGATTTCGCTCCCTTAAAAAAAAGCACAAACTGTAGATCACTAGAGACATTTTCCTCTGGCGCGATAAATCAGGATTGGCGGTTGCCAGGATTACTTATCTGACTGCATTGTGCCAAGTGTAGAGTTGTGGTGGAGTGGGATTATGGTGTGGGGTTGTTTTTCAGGAGTTGGGCTTGCCCCCTTAATTCCAATAAAAGAAACTCTCCCTGCTTCAGCAACAACATGACTGCACACAAGGTCCATAAAGACATGGCTGAACGAGTTTGGTGTGGAAGAACTCGACTGGCCTGCACAGAGTCCTGACCTCAGCGAGCCAGATGGGAACGTCATATTAAACCCTGAGAATTAGGAATAGGATGTTGTTCAAGATCATGTCTATGAAGGCAAGTGAGTGAATACATTTTCTAGTATGTTTATAACGTCTCTAGATTGGAGGATATTAACCCTGCTTTTACCCACTTTGATCCTTTGCTTATACCGAGGCTCACACTGAAGCGGCTGGTTTGGAGCTCTGGATAGCTTTAGCCACTTTTCCTTTGTTAGCTTCTTTATAATGTCCGTGTTTTGCTGGGTGAAGATGGTTTAAGTGTCTGACTGGGTTTGTTGGTACAAACATTTTCATGCTGGTCTCCCTGTGGTTTAATTTGGCCAGTTTTTCAGTCGTTACTCATAGTAAAGTGTTTCCACACTAATGTTAGAGATTGGCTTTACGTGTGCTTGTGCACATGCATGAAACGCCACAGATCATAATCGGATGACCAGCTGTCACCAGTCTTGACTAAACACAGTGGAAATCGACTGATTCTGGTCCCTGGATGATTGATCGCTGCTCCTCTAGCAGCAACTTAATATGCATCTGTGATACTGCATTTGAGAGTGAATAGTAAATTGATGCTGATATTGATGTAATGAGATAAAATTAGAAATGTGCCTCTGACAGTGAGAGCTACATTAAAGAGAGGAACAACATAAATACACTAAATGGTTGTTGCTAAATAAATTGCGCTTATAAATAGTATCAAAAACAAGGAAAAAGCAGAAATCGTACCAGTCACATGATCTTTCTGGTCCTTCACGTTGACTGCTTGAGAATAGTGGGAGACCTTCTGAACACATCATTCCTACAGAGACAGGAAGACGCTGGAATAGCTTTCTGATTCACTCCTGGCCTGACCAGTGGCTGCTCTCACCCCTTTCCTCCTCTTTTCTTTTGATTATCCCATTAGTGGGTTTTTTGTGCTTCTTGCTCTTTTTGTGCAGAGTATTTCTGTCTCAGTCCTATAATCACACTCCTCCATTTTGTCACCCCCCCCCCCATTTGTCTTGCTCTTTTCCCATTAATCCCTTTTTTCCCCTCCTCCACCTCCTCCTCCGCCTCCACGTCCTCTTCTATCTCCCCCTCCTCCGCCCTATCTCGCTGTCTCACCTTTCACACCTTCCGCCCCTCCCTCGCCTGGTCCCTCAGTTAGACTTTTTTCCACTTTGCTCCAGAATCTCATCAGGCGGCCGCGCTTTCAAAGACTAAAAAGAAAAGACACCTGTTTGTAGTCGCGGAGCACTTCAAAGATTTAATTTAATGCAAATATGCTGGTTGGTGTGGCGCTACATGGGAACAATAGCTTGTGTGATGGATAAAAACGTAGCTCCAGATGGCTCTTTCTATGGGTGGCCTGCTTTCTCCCAGCGGGCTTGTGCCGACTCTGCAGAAGGGGTGTTGTTATCGCCTGTGTCCCTGCTACTGCACCTGGGGGGGAAAGGGTCTATTTTTATCAGCATCGTAGTGCAAAGTAAATGTGAGCTGGGAGAACGAAGAGGGGAGTGAAAGCAGCCCTTGCTTGGAAATGTGCTGTATAGGATGATACTGTAGGTTGACAGCAGAATGAGCTGAGCCAGAAACATATACCTCTATTTCAGGAAATACACACTGGCAGCTGCCACATTTACCTGCTGTATCGCGGTATTGGAGGTGAACCTGATGGTTGTGACTCGATGTCTTTATCCTTTCTACTTCATCTGATTGTTATTTTGGTCGATAGTTTAGTCGATAAAGCGCCAGAAAATAATGACTGATGTCCTTCACAATCACCCGTCTCCTGGTGATCTCTTTAGTTTGTCTGAAATCTGAACATATGAGCAAAGGGCAAGACAAACAAAAAAACAAAACCCAGACTGTATGACATTTTTGCTTGCAAAATAATTAAATTGAGCTGGTCATCTGTAATCATGTCTGTAATTCCGAGATGAAGCAGCGATGTCAGGTATAAAATGACAGTGGATCATATGAGAAAATGCCTCGGAGAAAAAATGGGAATAATTCCATTTAATTTGTCTTCAAAAGCAGAGAAATTTTACATTGTGGAAGGGAAAAATGTGTGTAATGTGGAAGATCTGTGGTCAGAATTTGGTGCATGTTATTGATGAGTAAAGGTGCAGAAAAATGCAGCACTTCAGCTTCTACAAAAGTGCCTTTTGTTCTGTTCTCAGTGAGGAACCAGAAGGTTCACGCTTTCGTTCATATCGCTGAAAACATGCAGTAATGAAGTCTCGAGGATGTGTCTCCGACTCTAAAGTAACATTTTTGTAATGACCCACTAATTGCCACTATCTGTCTCAGTTGAGGTCTTAGGGGGTCTTCTCTCATGAGACGCTAATTTGTTAATTGTGGATTTATTTTTAGACCGGTCATCTCGCAAGCGAAAGCTTCCTGGCCTATTGTAACAACATCAGCCGCCCCCTCCTACTCCTTCCCTCATCACCAGCCCTGTTGACCTTTCCTCAGAGCTCATTTTCCAGCCGCACTGTGCAGCTATCGATTGGTTGATTCTTTAATGGGGATTATAGGTTTGCCATGCTTGCCTCTCCAGGTAGTCCTATGGCAGTCTTATTAGGGATAAAAGATTTGACATAATGGAGTCGACATGCAAATCATTCTCATCATTATGGATGTTATAGAAAAATGGCAGTTAATGCTCAAAGTAAAGAGAACAAGAGAAAACACTTTGCTCGCTTCAAACTGATGCACCGTTTGACAACCGTGTCACTTTATTTCTGACAAATTCGACCGTGCTGTTCCATAATTCATCAAGTTTGCGATAAAGAGAAAGACGAGCCAAAGGTTTATATGACATCCGACGCTTTTAGGGAATTTCGGCGTTTTAAAAAGCATTTAAAGTCTATTCCAGAAGCAGGCGGTGGGTGAAAGGTGAACAATGAAGTGCTTAATCAGGCCTAAATCGGAATGAAACATTGCTAAATATAAAAGTCCTCTGAGGAGAACAGGGGTCTGAGATAATGGAGATAATAACCCCGTCAAGGAAAGAGTGATATAAACGCACGCGCTAGATAACAGGTAAGGTGTGATTGGCAAGGCTGTAGAAAGATGTATGCTACCTGCAGTAGGTGGTAAATGAGCTGTTCTACATTTTTATGAATTTTCTCTGCGTGCTCCATCCAGAGACAAGTTTTCCAGGTCGGCTCGTAAACCATCGCAGAGCCAATCTTTCCCCCACTTTGCGAGATTGCCTTTTGACTCCACTCCGCTACCATAGGGCTCTCCAGTCGCTGCACTGAGGTGTGATTTTCCACATTGCTGGAGGAGAATAAAGCTGATTGTGTTTTTTTTGTTTTTTATTGTATTGGTCTATTTGTCGGTGCCCATTATAGTGGTGCTATGTGCAAGAGTGGCTGCACATAGCACCACTACCCTGCAGGCATGAAAGCTGAAAGGATGAGAGTAATCCAAGCGTTTGTGCAAAAACATTCAGAAATTATGAAAGAAATGAGTTACAACCAACTAATATACATATAAAAATGCATTTTTCTGAGCTTTTGCCGATTAATATTCTAGTATTGTCTTCATGCTTTCAGTCAGTTTATATTTAGGACTTTGTTAAAGCTCAAGTTCACGTTCATATTTCTTGTTTTGTGAAGCAGATTTTCACTTTAGTACCATATGAGCCACGGAGAATTTGAAAAGTTTAAGAAGTGCAAATATATTTTGTTTTTGTCTGTAAAATGACTTTGTTAATCACTCTGTTTTGGGTTTTTTTACCCTAAACTCCAGAGTTTGCTGTTTTTCATAATGTACAGTACATTTTGTTTTTGCAAAACTAATGCGCAACATGAAGTGATCAGCAGACCACAGAGTGTCCATCTGTAAACCAACCTGCCCTTCTGTGCTCCTGTCCCAGGCTGTCGCTGCCAGAAGAGTGGCGTGGTGTTCGGGATGAAGCGCTGTCGGAGCTCAGCGGGATCAAGGGCTGCATCTTTGTCCACGCCGGAGGCTTTATTGGCGGGAACAAGACCCAGGAAGGAGCGATGGAGATGGCCCGCAGGACCCTGCAGGCCGCCGCCCAGTCCCCGGCGAACGGAAACAGCTGACTTAATTACCATGTTGTTTAGTGATATACCAACGCAGACTCTGGGCTCTGGGTCATCGTGCTGACTCATAATATCCTTCTTCTCTCTGCCTGTTCTTATAAATGTCTGTTCTGGAGTTCTTTTGAAATAAAAGACTGATTTGACATATTTTTGGTCTTTGGTAAATAATTGAGCATTGGCTTGAATCCGGCAATAAACCTGCTGTTTTCCCAGTCTCTTGGCTGTCGCTCGCGCCCCATAATATGCTGCCATCTGACCGAACAACACCAGCATCTTCAAAGCCTGAGATACCACGGCCTTACCTTTCAGTCGCTGATTTATAGAGACACCTGGACTACGGTTGCACCTTTCATTTCCAGCGTGCTGACATTAACCGTAGCACTACAAAGAGATACAGAGGCCACTTCCTTTGGCTCCGAGATCAAAGCGTCAGTAATAAGGCCTGATTAATTTGGATAAATTAAATTACCAAACGCCACAAAGACGTGCTCCGCGTGGCAGGAAGCCTCGTGACGGGGTTACCGGGACTGGGACGAGTCATGCAGTCAATGTAATAAAGTCGGTAGATGTGGCTTGAATTTTCTCATCATTACACCAGATTTCCTCCCCCTTTTGCTACCTGTTACTTCTTATTACATTCTCCACGGGTCTGACCTTCCGCTGCTCTTCGTCTACATAACGCACTGCTCTGGTTTTATTGCTATGCATTTTATTTCCATCAGCGCTGGTGTCATTGTGCAAATGCCACTGCGGTGCAAAATAAAATGGACACGTTACAGCTGTAAATGTTGCTCGGCTTCATGTCTTTCTCCTCATTTGCCTTTCGTTGCATTCAGACTATTTATTCTTAAATCCAGTTAATTTTCTCCTAACACGCTCTTGCTTTTACTTTTTTTTGTGGCAAACGTTAGACCTCCCCCATCTAATGTCAAGAAAACAAGCTCCCACAGACAGCATGTGCTCATAGCAATAAAGCTCATGGTGTATTGTCTAATCTATATCTGCTCTCAACTTTCAGCTGCTGAATTATTGTTTACCATTTGGCTGAGAGTGCACTAACAATATATAATGGCTTTGGAAATGTGCGCTTCCTCTTGCAACTTCTTTTGCACGCTACCTTTGTCTCAGAAGCACACAGATACACGTTTTAGTGTTATTACTCTGCTCTCTATTGTGCTGGTCCCGAGCCAAGGTCTCAATCCAATCCATACACATTTGTCACAGCCTTTTATAGTCACATGGTGTTGTAATCCCTGCCAACTGATGCTGTATTGTTTTGGGAGATGTAGACGATAACCCCTTTTCACAGCTTGCTTCACTCAAAGGAGCAGGACACAGCAAAGGTGCATTCATCACAGTGGCAGAATTGGAGACTCTCTGAGAGAAGCATCAGATTGAAAGGAGGAAAGAACTGATGTGTAGCCTAATATGCATTGATTTGAGCTTCCCAGTCTCCACTTTACCCTCACATGCACAGTTTCAGGCTTATTCATGGTCAAGTGCACTTGCCTGCTTGCTGTGCACAGGAAATCACAGGGTGCTCTGTGACTATATTCTAAATGTTTAGTGTCCTCAAAAGCTCTGCTTTGCATTTTAGCCCATGCGCTGGTTTTGCTGCTACAGAACAAACGGGCTGCAAGTCTTTTGCTGTCACCCAAAGCCCCTACAAAGCAACATTTTTTAATACTTTGTTTTGTCAGCAGAGATGATTTTCCGTCTGTGTTGTAGTTTTTAACAACACAGCAGCAAACCAGATCTTTGTGTTAGTCCTCGGTCGTAAGCATTTTTAAGACGACTCCAGCACTACCGAGTCCCACTTGGCCACGCTGTGGAAAAATGGCTACTGAGAGCCTCAGCAGAACACCTGCCCCCACCCTGACCTGTTGTTAGTGGATTTAATCCCGAGAGAATGACAGGCTAGTTACAAGAAATGCTCCACTGCTTTTTCTTTTCTCTCGCTCCCCCTCCTCTCCCTCTCTATACCTAATGGAGAGGTATAGCCACATGAGTTTTGTGGGTTTTATTTTTTTGCCCTTTCTTTTCACAACACAGATAAAGGACAAAAACACGGACCGTGTGCACAGAAAGAACTAGATTTTTGTTTCTGGCTGGCAGATCTTTTCCACTGCCTCTTTGTATTTACAAATTTGTATGGTTTGCTCAGTTTTCCCCTCTGAGGACAACACCCGAGCAAACAGATGATGCCAAACTGTTTCACTTGACTGCAGTGATGGTTTTCCTTGGAGTTCATATTGTCAGTGTTGTCATCATCGTGCTGCTCAGAGGCATGCGCATCCTTTAAAAGATCTTCATCCGATATTGAACAAATAGACCCTCCATAGCCTTCTCACCATGTGGTACAGCTTTTATTTTTCTTCCTGCAAATTGAACTTCGGACCCAAAATCATGCTATTCGCTCTCAGTTCAGGGAGCAAAAATAGACAATGTGCAATACTTTTTTTTCTTTCTTTTCTTGAGTAGGAGATTTTTCTATCTGCCGCCATGTGCTTTCTCATTATGCACCCCTTTGTCCCTTGTTTTCTATCTGGAAAAACCACAAAACTCAGCCTGTCTGCCGCATCATGTCTGGCAAACATGGAAACAATCACCCATCAAGGGCAAAACATTCACAAGTATTCAGCTGGAATGTGGGGGCAAAAAAAGGCATTATACTTGCAGCGTTCTGTATTTGTCAGGAGTGGGAATGTCATAGATTTAGCAGGAGCGGGACGGGCTGTAGAGGCAGAGGAGGGATACGAGGTGCCATCATGGCTGTCAGACCCATCCTTTCCCCCCTGAGGGCTCTGCTGTACATGGGCAGATATTCTTGCTGCTTACAATAGAAAATCAGAGACGGAGCAGGTCACTCATCCCGAGAGTGCGCCTGCTCTCTGCATACATTCTGTTTTCTGCTGTTTTGTCTCCCGGTCTGATGGTGTTTCCATGTCATTTATGTGGAAATTCAAAATGTCAAGGCTGCCATATGTTCTGCTGCTCCTTTGTAGGTCCATGCTTATGTTTCCCTGCGTGTCCAAGTCAGTCTTCATTTTCAGCTTGATCCACTCTCTGTGTCTGCACACTGTGACAAATGAAGTCTCTTTCTACTTGACCTCCACTACTAAGCGTGGACAAAACAGGAGTGATTAGAAGAATCGCATTTTCCCTTTAATGCTGTTTTCCTTTCAGCTCTATCAGTCAGGACTCCTGTTTATCTAACTGTGAACAGCTGCAGGTAGGACTCCAGCCTGACAGCTTTTGTAAATAGCCCGCTCAGCTTTGCGGGTGATATAGGCTATTTATTATTTCGCATGCTATATCAAACAATGATTAGGCTCTTTTTTTTTCTTTTTTTTTTTTGCTTACTTAAAATGAATAAATAAATTACTAATCTGTGTAACTGTGCGCATGGCTGGGTTTCAATCTGATTCTGCTGGAAAAATGGTTGGAAGAATCTAATTATATCTATAGGTTAATTAAGTTAACCAGCGTCTTCTCAGAAAGCTGAGATTGATTCCAGCTCTAGTGAGGGACAGAAGGAGTGGAGGGCACACCTCCCGCGTTTGTTTTCGTCTCACGCGCGCACACGCACACATATACTAGCGCGCGCGCGCACAAGCAGATACAGAGGGAGGGAGAGAGTTTGCCCCACATCTTTATCGCTATAACTACCCTCCACTAGTGAGACAGTCAGTGATGGAGCCTTCCGCAGGGGACAGACCGCCACGCGCTCTCAGGTGATTCTCTGTCTGTCTTCTTTTTCTGCCTTTTTGGGAAATTTGTCAACTCTGAAGAAGAGGATGATGATGTTCATCCAGTCTGTGGGAAGAAAAACTACAAACGGAGTCTAAATAAACATCCTCACCCGCCGCGTGGATCCAAACTTCACCAGAAACGGTTTTACAGGTGAGTTTATTTATGTTCACTTGGAAAGACGAGCCCTAACATTCAGATCCTTCGCGAATTTCTCTCTCTCGCTCTCTTTTTTTAAAAAAAAAGAAAAGAAAAAAGAAGAAGAAATGCATTAACTTTAGCCTAATAAGGCAAGCGGAGAAAAAAGCTGCACATAAAATTTAAGTAACTTCATTTTTATCGCACAAAAGTTTAAAAATGATACAGAAAAATCACATTTAGTGTCACCAAACGGAAAGCGCTGTTTTGTGGACGCCCTTTGCTTCGGGTAGACTAGTTGACCTGTTTCACGCAGATTAATGTCATCTAAAGTCTGCATGAAATTTCACCGGCATCGTTATTATGTCGGTGCAGGTTCATTTTGTCAAAAACTATGTTGGGTGCAGGAAATTCCGAGAATATCTTTTCTATTTCGGATTAAAGGCCTTTTAAAATTAGGAAGGGATATTAGAAAAAAAATAATTGGAAACTGCAGTCACCAGCTGTAACCACAGCTGTATTTGCTTTGGGAGCCTCCCCACCCCGGTCTTTCTCAATCCCATTCTTATTAATGCAGCAGATGATTATTTTTGCTAATTGGGGATTTGCATGCATCTGCATTTAGTATGTTAATATTTTCTATTGCGTGCTGAGCCAAATCCTCTGCACAGTTTATAAGGCACAGAGGGCAGCTTGATGGACATCAGAGGGCTGTCACCCAGTCACCTTCAGGCATATCATCCAAATCTAGGCCGCTTGAGTCGGGGTTGAAACCCTCAGCCCTGCTGTCAGGACAATAGAGACACATGACAGTTTTTATTCTATTATGAAAATGGGGAGAAAGCGGAGGGTGCTTGACATTTTAAGAGGATAGTCTTTTAATCAAATTCAAGGAGTGTTTTGTGATTTCTGTCTGGGAACAAGAACATCATATGGCCATGCTTGTGTCAGCAAAACAAGAACAGGCTGCCCTCACACCACCTACAGACCCACATGGTTTTATTTATTTGTTTTAAAGAAAGGGGAAAAAAAACATATTTAAAGCAGAGTCCCAGTTGGTTTTGCTCATGTTGCTTTTTTTAAACTTTTGCCTCTAAACTGTGGGAGAAGCGAGCAGATGCTAACACCCAGATTGCTGCTGGGTTATTTTTTTTCCAGCCCTGTCACTTATTGACACTGTGGGACTCGGGCAGGATTAATGTTCATGCAGTTAATAGTGCAGCAGGCAATGCTTGGGCTTATCGATCCAACCCCTTTCTAACCTACATCCTACAATACACATCTCCTCTACCTCGCCCTTGGAAGATGATTAAGGGGATATGGCATCATGGGGAAATAAATACAGGGATAAATGAGATGAGCATGTATTGATGGGTGTAATGTAATGCTTTCCTTCTCATCTTAAACTTGTTATTCTGGAGGAGCACAACAGGAGAGGAATGGGAGGGTTTAAGATGATCTTTTATAATGATTTACGTCCCTTTAATGCAGAAGTACAAGAGAGGATTTTTAACCCTATTAGATCACTTAAACCGTCATTACGGCTTGAACTGTGATTCGTGAGGGAATCATTGCAATAAAACTTGCTGATGGTTCCACTGAAAGTCCAGTTTCATTTCAGAGTTATTAACAAACATTTTTCTTCGATATGCATGACAAGGGGTGATTTTCTAGCATAGAAACTGTCCTCTTACATGTTTGAGTCCATTTGTATTACATGCCTCTCCATACAGGAGGGCTTTCGTGGAATAAGCCGCGTTTAAGCTCATTCACTGTCTGTCTCTTTAGCCACTGACCTTTTTTCTGCCCCTCCTCCCAAAACATCATAATCTCCCCTTGTGAGCATTTGTTATGATTGCATGTGTTTGCAGATTAAGTAAAGAGAGAGAGAGAGAGAGTCTTCATTTCCAAACTGACCTCTTTTCTCTCAATCTGTCAGATTCTCCCAGCGCAACAGTGTGCGGCTAACTGGGACCTGGTGTGTGTCAGGAGGCTATGGTGAGGCCATGTGCACGGGCTGGTGTGAGGCGAGATGTAACAGCCTCAGTGGAGGAAGACGTAAAGGACTGGATCTTCACTCATGGCTTCGTGTGTCACTCCTGTTCTTGGCTCTGTGGGGCCAAGTGTTCCCACAGTGCCCGGACAGCTGCCACTGTGCCTGGGACACGGCCACGGTGTTGTGCTCGGATGCTGGGCTGCGGGAGATCCCAGAGGGGATCCCACCAGAAACTGTCTCCCTTCACCTGGAGCGCAATTACATACGGAACATCCCAGAGAGTACCTTCAGTAACCTGGTCCGCTTGCGGGACCTGTACCTGTCCCACAACCGCATCGACTCGCTTGCCTCTGGGGCCCTGCAACATCTGGGGCCCGAGCTACGCCTGCTGGACCTCTCACATAACCAGCTGAGGCACGTCAGCAAGGAGGAGTTTGGTTCCACTCGTGCAAAGACACGTCTTTACCACAATCCCTGGCACTGTGACTGCACACTCCAGGAGCTGATGGAGACTCTGAACCTGGAGCCTGAGACAGTGAATGGGATAATATGTGAGAGCTCTGTGCGGGGGTGGGTGAGGGGAGCAGGTGGGAGGATCCGGGGTCACTGGGCGAGCACGCAGGCCAACCGCTGGTTAAACTGCTGGACTCTGGGGTGAATTTCTGCAGTCTGCAGAGGAAGACCACTGATGTAGCCATGCTGGTGACCATGTTTGTGTGGTTCTTCATGGTCATTGTGTATGTAGTGTACTATGTGAGGCAGAACCAAGCCGAGGCTCGCAGACATTTGGAGTACCTGAAGAGTTTACCCAGCCCACGCAAGACCCCTACTGAGACAGATACTCTCAGTACTGGTTTCTAAACTCCTGCTCAGCTGAAATTTAAAAGAAAATGTTATTTTTACCAACCTTGACTTTGAAATTCTATGTGGAGTTATGGTGAAAACCAGCAGTGGAAGATGCACACACAGAGGAAACGCAGCTCCCGAACACCCTGCAAATGTCTTCATATTTCCTTTCCCATCATATTTTTTGCTAATTGTGGATAAAACAAATACTTGCTTACTCATCCCACCATCTCAACTGAGAGAAAATTTAAAAATCCCTAAAAGTACAAAGTGAAAGTGTAACATGTAAGACATCTTCTTGCACCCCCTCTTTTATCCTCCCACCATGCTTCATACTGTGTTCTTTTATCTTAAATTAAGCTCTAATTAGGAGTCGTTGACCAACTGACCCTTAATAAAACTACTGAAAGGCACTAATCAGCTGGAGTGTTTATCAGGTCAAGGACAGTGTGCAAACGCTAATGTGTGTCATCTTATAATTGCTTGTCTAATATGTGTGCGTACGTGTGCACGTGCATTTTTGTGCATAGCTGTGGCCGTTTTTACTTTGATATTATTGATTTTGCGCAGATATAATTTAAGCCTTTTTTAATATATCAGCACTGACCCAGTGTTTATGTGTCACTGGAAAGCCTCTGATCTAAATTTTCTCTAAGGAATCCATTAGAGCTGGAGGTGAACTATTGTGTGTCCGTTTAGTATACATACCCAGTATCGCCTGGTGTACAGAGAGTCCAAATCAATTTAGAAAACAATTATTAATACACATATTTATCCAGAGAGGAGCTGGTAGAAAACCTCGAGTCCTGATTATTTGGGGCTGCATTTCTTTTTCTTTTCCACAACCCCATCCCAATCGATTTTCTTTTAAAAGGCAGTGTGAAAATAAGCAAAACACTTTGATAATAAATTGCTTTGATTAGAACACGACAGATTGTAGTGTTACAATTAATGCTATTCCTGTAGGTGTACCGCAGGTGCACTGAATCCTCAGCCTAGCTTTTTGCACGCATGCAGAACAAACCCTGCCTGGATAAACATCCGCATTTCACCCAGTATCACATGATTTAATTGAATTCAGATTTACTGTGGTAATATGTTAGCATTCTGTGAGGAGAGGGTGTGCAATGTGATTTAATAAATCTGGATTTGTCATCCTTCACTGTTGCATTAGAGACTGTAAAAAGCCCTATTTTCAGTTTGCTAGTCAACCTCTTTAAAACGTGTCTCCATACCGGAGTGTGGGATCATAAATGGGGAAAAGTAAGCTTGTTATTTACGGCATAATTTTAGGTTTCACTCTCATTGTATTCAAACACACACACAAAAAAGACTTTGGAAACAAGGGCAACAATGCAACCCAGTCAGCAATGAGCGGTTTAATGGGAACAGCTAGTTTATAACATGTTTTTATAGGTATGTGAGCCACACAGATCTTCAGATCAATTTGTAATAATTATGACTTAAAAAAATCTCTTTGGACCAAATACCTGTTGGTCCATTCTAAAACCAAGTTATGGTTATGGTAAACTACTAATACCAGTATGTTAGCACTGTCATTGTGAGGATGTTGGTAGGATTTAGCTCAGAGCACTGTGCTGAGGGACCATACAGTATCATAGAGCTGCTAGCATGGCTTCTTTTTTCATGTATCATCCGTATGTGATCGATTAAAGTGTACAAATGTCTATGTGGTCATTATATACAATAAAATATTATCTTATCTAAAAGCTGGGTTGGTAAAGTGGGAAGAGCCGAGGCACACGCTGGAATAGGTCAACATTTAATGTGTTATATTGATGAGTGTGGTTTGTTTACTTTGGACCCTCAGAGAGAGATTCTGGTTCAGGTCTGCGCTGTTCCCATGCTGTCAGAACTAGAGTCAGTTATTGATATTGTTACGATCTGTGTGTGAAACCAGTCTTGTTGGTAAACCGCAGGCAAGAAGAAGACGAGAATAAAACGGTGGACGCTCGTTATGTGACTTAAAAAGCAAAACTGCCTGTGAATAAACTGTATGTGTAACCGTACATACTCTGAATATTTCTTGAACGTTAGCTGTTTGTCATAAATCCTACATCTAGTGTTGATGTGCCTGAGCTCAGTTTCATATCTTTATAATAATGCTCCTGGTCTCTCCAGTGATGATTGTAACAACCCCAAAAATCAAATGTTTTTTCCTGTAGATTTTTTTTTATTATTATTATTATTGATGATGTATTTCCATCCCAGTGATTTGTTTTCTTGTCTGTTTGTTCACCCAAAAATATCCAAACAAGGGTAAACTCATATTGGAAAGTATTACATTAAATAATAAATGAGCCATGAAAAGCGACGTTGGGGGAAAAACAGAAAAAAAAAATACAAATAAAACAAACATTGCTCTACTTTGTTTATAGAAATGCTTCTTGATTTATTTCTACTGAAGATAGAAAAATGCAATTAGAAGAATAGAAATGAAGTACAGAGAGACAAATCGCAGTATGAGCTGATCGTAGTTGGCAGTGTTTCCCATTTCTACTTTACTGTGCATGAAAAGTGAAGGAAACGATTGGAAAACCATCACAGGTACGTTTTGTTCCATCATCAGTCAAGGCAAAATTAAACCATATCCATCACTGCTCTTCCCTGGAAATAAATCCAGATATTGGCACAGAAACATAAAATAGAAGCAGGGCAGATATGATACGTTGTCTTTTTTATTTATGTTTGAACGTTTCTTTTAAGGACGAGATATTTCATCACCGGGGAGAACAAAACGGAACATAAATAAAACGCAACTTCAGCCTTTGACTTGGTTTTGTCTTTTATTTCCAATTTACATTAATTAAAACGTAACAAAAACAAGTCATGATCATAATAATATAATAATGCTATTATTATTAATAATAATATTATTATTAATAATAGAAAATATACACATCCTCACACAAATGGACCCTCTGGCTGGCTGTAGGACCGGAGCAACAAAGTCAAACACGCTTTACATCGTGAGTGTGAAGCAGAGGGCGCGTGCTGTGAGGAGACTGAAGGCAGGAAGCAGAGAGGGATGAAGGTCAGGGCGGGTGGGGGGCAGCAGACTGGGCTTTAATGATCAAATTTTCAAATCTTCAACATGTTGGTCACACACATGTAAAGATTTGAGGTGGAAAAGGCCTCAGTTTCAACTTGTCAAGATCTTCTTTTTTAGCGTGAGGTAGCTTTAACATACCAAAACAAATGTTAGGAAAAGAAAAAGAAAACAATTTTTAAAGAAATGAACATGACTTGATTGTAAAAATTTACGAGGGGGCCATATTTGTTTATGTACGAAGGCACGAAGCAAAGAGGGGGGGCAAGCCGGGACTTTTATCACCCTGAAATCCAAAATCCTGGGCGACATGCTCTCTCTGAGAAACTGTATATATATGTATACACACATATACATATATATACATATATACAGGTCACTAAATGTGAGTATCTGGCTGATAAAAAATACAAACTGTTTTACAACAATAGCACCATTGACTTTATTTATAATACACAGTAACTTTTGACACACTGTGGCAGTAGAAATAGGAACACCTGCACTTTCTTTGCAGCTTGATTGTTGTTGTTTCATTCTTTAGTGGATATTGTACAGGAGCGATGGGATGGTTAGAAAAGAGGAGGAAGTACGAGAGAGAGTTGGTGGAAATTATTTGTGTGTAAGCCACTTTTCAATACTTAGCAACAAACTCAGTCCTGTCACACCAGGGATCTCAACCTAAACAATAAATAAATAACACCAACACATTGTTCTCTCTCCAATTCCTACGTATGCTCCTGTACTCTCCTCATACTTCCTCCTTCTTGTTCGCGAATATGCAAAAGATTAGTTGGCAGGGAGGGAGAAGGGGTGCAGGTGGGGAGGTAGCATTTTTGGAGAAAACAGGGAGTCCGTGGTTTGGGGTGGGCAGGGGCGAGCTGACTGGAGGCAATGCTGGATGAATCACAAATGACAGGTGCTGGTGCCATTCAGTGCAGATATCCTATGGAGTTCAACTTGGAAAAGCACTTTCTACTAAGAAAAAAAGTCCCATTTAAAAAAAAAGTGTCTTGATTTTTCTTTTTTTCTCTTCCTCGCCTCCTTTATCTGAGGTGTGCTCCTCTTTCATGTTATTTTCTTTTTCAAATCTCCACTTCTTTTTTCTCGATAATTTGATCCCTCGTTCTTTACAAGAAGCAGACCGGCCCGACATCGACTCCAAACTCCTGGTCTGCTCCACCGATATCCATGGGTGCAATGTCCAGGATGGGCAGACGAGAGGTCTTCTGTGATCTGTATTCAATCACCGTCTTGCCCCATTTTCCCGTGTGTCTCTGTAGAGCGAGAACGACAGGTGCAAACAGCTGTTAAACAACCTCTAACTACTCCAGAACTGGAGAGAATGAGATTAGTTTCGTGAGTGGACACAGCAAGAAATTTGTATGAGCTTTATTGTTCTCTCAGCCACTTTTAACATCCCTCATTACGTTTTTACGATTCTCTGACAGTGTGGGTGTAATGTATATGGATGTCAGCAATATTGCCGGTCTTACCGTGCAGCCATCTTCCAACACAGCGTAAGTGAAGCGGCTGTTGCCCTCGGCTCTGATCTCCACGTCATTGGAGCCCTGCAGCAGCACGGCCTTCTTCAGGTTGCCTGTCGAGCCGTCCATGTAGGCCACGCTGTTCTTACAGTGGTAGGTGATGTTTTGAGAAGCCTCAGTGGACAGCAGTCTCAGGAACGTCATCTGAATGGCGGCAGTGTTGGGCGCCAGGCTGTCATCGCCATAGTTAAACTGCATTGCATAGGAATTGAAGGAAGGGAAAGTTAGAATAACAGTTGCAATTGTTTTTATGGTTCAGTTTATACGCATGTGTGTTTTTTTCCTGGTTGTTGAGATGATGTTTCAGATTTTAAAAACCTTACATACAGGGGCTTTAAGAGGGAGTCATTGATTTTATGTCCTCGCTCAGCCAAAATGTGCTTTTTATTCTTCTGCTAAACTTTATTTATAAGGTTTCTACTTGAGACCAAGATGCTTTTTAACTTCGCTTTAAGTAAGACTAGTATAGACTTAAGAGAAAACGATGGAAAAGGCACTGCTCATCGTGCAGCAGAATCCATAGACGTGTCAACCAATGATCAATATTTATGCTGAACTGCCGACCTGCCTCCACTGTTTTCATATCATTGACTTTTTAAAATAGTTTAACATGTGCATAGCAGTGAATCCGCTTCCCGTTTCACAGGCACAGAGAATTTAAAAATGTTGATGCAACTTACATGGAATCCTCCATTCATGCTTTCTCCGAACCAGACATGTTTGCGGTCCTTGCTCTTGCTGGTCCACCAGTTCTTGCGAGGGATGCTGGAAGGCTTGGGGTGGACGCAGGACTCCCCTGTCTCCATGTTGCAGAAGACCTTAATAGCATCTACGGTGCAGCCTTGATTGGGATCAATCCAGTACTCTCCTGCAGATGGAAAAAGACAGGAACATGGGAGCGCACCATTCTCGGTCTTTGGTAAATTAAAAATCTGATAATACTTGGAAATTTATTGTATAATGTTTTGTTTTTCTAATATTGAAAAAACAGACTAAATCAGCTCAATCCAAACACTCCCCAACTGCAGAACCTTGGCTAATACAAACCTTGACTTTACTAAATTGAGATGGCAAAAAATTCCTGTCTGCTTTCTCATCTCACCCCAAATTTAACCAATTCCCCTCGGTGTCACTCACCACTCTTCCAGTCAGGGTGGCACAGTTTCAGGTCTCTGCAGGTGCGAGCAGGGTTTTTCTTGGATCCCTCAGGGCTGCGGATGTTCTCAATCTGGTTGTTGAGAGATTTGAGAGTGGCGTCGACCTCAGCATCATGCTGTCGGAGATTTCCAGAAGCCTGGTCGGCTCTCATGTACCTGAGAGGATCGGGGCCTTTCTCAGTCTGACCCAGACCAGCGAAGGCAGACATATCGATGCCAGGGCCCGGGGGACCAGGAGGACCAGGGGGTCCGGGGTTTCCAGGAGGACCCTGAGAGAAAAGAATAAAGACGGGAGGGTTATATACTTCTTCTTTTTTTGTTGAGTCTTGCAATCATTGCACTTCTGCATTATTTTGCCCTTTTCTGTCAAACCCGTCAAGCCTCTCTTCCTGATGGGTTCAGGAAATCCTCTACAATCTGTTCTTGTATCTCATTTCTATTAACTTGTCTGAGACTTCACTCCCACTTTCAGCATCCACGTAGTAAGCGAGTCATTCATTTCCACTGATACTCACATTTAATTTGACCTTTGCTAAATTTTTCCTTCCTGTTTTTCAGTCCATTAATTGCCACTTAATTTGTCCATTTCTTTTTGCAGTGCACCTACAATTCCTGCTTCAATATGAAATTATGAAATGCAGACACAGTTTCTGCAGCTCCTACACCATAAGTGTGCCCTCCTTACAGACTGACTTTACGTCTTCGACCATTATCTTTAATAAGGACAACAAATTTGCTATAATCTGGTATAATAATAAAAAACAAACATTAAAAAAACTTATTTCATTTATATCCACTTAATTTTGTCCCATGTGGACATTATGTTTCTGGCTTTTTATAATATTTTGCTGCTACTCTTTGTACCAATCAATAAAACGTGTTAATTTATATAATGGTTTTGATTTAAATTTGACCCCCCCCCCCCCCCGACTAATAGTGTTTTTTCTTTTGCGACAGGGACAGAGAGGAAGGATCGTGTCATGACTGACTGTGATGTAAACCAGCGAATAATGTTCTACGAAATTATTTGCGCAAATGTTCAACTCACGTCACACAACTAAACCCCTCAGATCTCGCACTCATGATGTCATGAGGTCGTGACAGTCGTGCACAGTTTCCAATCTTGTCCCATTCTTGTTTTTTCAATTCTTGAAAACAACTTTGGTATTCTCATGTATTTAACACAAACCTGTTTTTTGCAGAATGTAGCAAAAAGTAATAAAAAAAACTATTATAAATATGTGACGGAACAAATTAAATAAAAAAAAAAAAGAGGAGCATGAATTGAATGAGCACAAAAAAGCACTCACAGCAGGACCGGTCTCTCCACTGCGACCACGGGGTCCAGGGGGTCCAATGGGTCCAGGCAGACCATTTGAACCGTCTTTTCCAGCAGGGCCAACGGGTCCAGGTGGTCCCTGCAGAGACAGTTTGAGATGTTAAGGTCTGAAGATGAAGCATTTAAAGAAGCTAATGGTTTTTCAAAGTGACTGCCACTTTTTATTACAGTTGAGTATTTGTACTCACACGTTGTCCTGCAGGTCCAGCAGGTCCAGTAGCACCCTGGTCTCCAGGTTGACCCTAAAGTAGAAGAAATACAGTAAATACCTGAAGCA